ATTTCCACAGACACCTCAGAGGATTGCTTGCTCTCCTGTCATGATGTTGGAGGAGAAGAGCTTAGGATTCTCTATGGATTCGAAGATTGCACGGGCGACATCGACGCTGCCGCATTTGCAGATTCGCGAGATATTTGTTGCGGCGGTGCTCGCTTTGCGCAATGCGGGCGTGGATTTGCCTCCCCTGTGACAGATCCCGGCAGTTCTTGAGCAGTGCTCCCTCCAGGCCTACGCACAGGCGAAATATCTAAATCGAGCGCGCAGAACGTTCGATGGGATGCTCCGGCGAGATGCCTCGACGTGGAACTCGATCGTCACGGCATATGCCGACAACGGGCATCTTGATAAAGCGCGAGAGATTTTCGAATTGGCTCCAGAGAAGAACGAGTTCTCTTGGAATGTGACGATTACACTTTTCAATCGCAATGGAAAGATAGCTTCTGTCAAGGATTTGTTTGATCGGATGCCCGTGAAGACGATCGTTGCGCAGACTGCCCTCGTCACAGCATTTGCCAGGAAAGGGCATTTGGAAGAAGCCGAGGCTTTGTAGGAGGAGCGCGATGTAGAGTCATGGGCTTTTGGCTCTCGCTGTCTACAGACAACTCCAACTGAACAGCAAATGCAGGTTCGGCAGTCTTTTTCTCTTGAGTTGATACAAACGAAGACTTTCTGGCGACAGGCAACTGCATTTGAGGTGAAAGGGCTACGTATTGCCGGAAAGCAGAAAGAGGCTTTACGGGCTGCTCAGACGGGCAACTTTGGGTATCTGCTCTTCTTATGGCCCGGCAGCTGGGAGAGAAGGTACGTTGTCTTGTAGCTTTGATGTATAGACCGTTAGTGATGGTCTTGTAGTTTTTAATAGTTCTACACCGACACTATAGCGGAGATGGCTCAACGTCAGTTTCAACCAGGGTTTCCCCTCCGAACTCTAACTCTTCTTTATGCTGGTCAACATGCCGGAGTGTTCGTAGGGAACACTAATTCGTCGAACGTAACAGCGCTTCAACCTCAACCGGTTCCAGCGTCTCTGGAGACATCGAGATGGGAAAAACACCCTCGGATTCGCACTTAAAAACAATGCAAAATTCACTTATTTCAAATTTTGAAATTTCAAATTCAAATTCAAATGTTTAGAATTATATCCCAGCAAATTTCAAAGCAAACACGAACGCCACTGGCAAAGACAGAGGGAAAACGTGAGGTTCTCTCTAACCTCTTTCGCATCCTCTGGACTGTGCAACTCCTCACGAGGCTCCCCTTCCACTTCCTCGGGATCACCGTAATCGACAAAGAGGTCCTGGTCCTTGAGCATTTTCACCTCTTTCCTCCAAGCTTGGATCTCCGCCCGAAGATCAGTCTCCCCAACATCAATCAAGAAGTTGTGCAAGATGCAACAACTCTTGATGATGTTGGGAAGGTACTTTGGCTGGATCTTTTGTTTTTGATCCAAGCATCTGAACTTCATTTTAAGAAGTCCAAATGCTTGCTCAATAACAATCTGAGAAGGTTGAAAGCTGCCTTGGATGGTGTCGAGTTCGGAGCTGAGCAACAACCAAAACAAGTGAACAAAAGAAAGTAGAATGAAGAAGACTTACTTGTGTGTGGAATCATCAGATGCTGCTGGAGTTGGTACCCTTTGTCCCCCACTAGGTATGGCTTGATCCTATCATCATATGCTAACACTGCGGGCGATGTCAGCAGCTCCCTTGCTACAATCTTGTTCCTGAGGGTTGAATTCCGAAAAACCCTCATGTCGTGGATGCGTCCTGAAAGCAAAAAGAACATTTTAGAACCATCCTGGCCACCCAGCGTAGACACTGAGGAACCTCTTCTGGGCATCAAAAACCCCTTGCAAGATGACTGAGTACCGCTGCTTCCGGTCGTAGTAGCTCTCGCTGTCCAGTCTAGTAGTCGATCGCCCCAGCAACAATAGGCAGTCGGGTTCCTATTGCTGATCAAAACTTATAACAATCCAAAAAACATAAGAAAATGTACAATCTCATGAGCTGTGGACTCCCTGATGCCGAACTTGTCCACCAGATCCAAGTAATTTGTGTTCTTGAAAAGCTTGTACAAAGTCACCCCCAGTCGAACATCCACCGGCACCACACTCCACCAACCGCTTCCGGATCTCACTCTCCAGCATGCCACAAATGGTGAAGAAGGTCCTCTTCTCCATCTGAAGTTTCCTCTTCCACCTCCCCACATCGTAATACTCCAAAGAAAACTTACTCCAGGTGGTGACATTTCGAGGCTTCACCCACCACAGGCCGATGCTAAACCTCCTCCCTATCACAGCCCGACGAACCTCAAGTTCACGGTCTTCGCGAGATGTTTTTCCCGAACGAGATCAATCAGGACCATGGTCTCAGCATGGTTCCAGTTCTTTCCCCGGGTTCTCTTCGCAGCAGCAGGTGCAGCAAAACCCGAGGTATCCACAAACTGGACAGCCTCGTGGTCGAGCTCCTCCATGTGAGCATCCGGGTCTTGTTCCAGATCGGGGACCTCTTCTTCATGACCCTGCCGGGAGGCATGCAACCTAAGAAATGTAAACTCACCGCCATAAGGGTAAGTACATTACTTTAGCTTAAGTTATTGTGCAAATAGGGAAAACGTTAATTTTGATCCCGGAACATGAGGCGGTACTTGCTATCAGCAAAGAGTTTGGGTAGGAATGTTGACTAAACCTGCCAACAGGTGCCCCAAAACGGAGCACCCAGATTCAGATAATAAGCCTTAGTATGAAGACTTGCCGGCCGATTCTGCTACCAAAAAGAAATTTAAATTTAAGACAACGTGTCATCCTCCTTTTGCATAGTTTTAACTTTTAAATGTTATTTTTTTCTCCGTGAAGTTCAGGTTGGCGGCGGTACTTTGACGAGGCATGCTCACTCAGCGGCCCATGTTTCTGCTTGACTCATGGAGGGTTAAAACCAGGGATAACTGCAAGAAAGAGCACTGACATGTTTTCAAAAGTAGTTGTCACAGGAACATCTGCCATCCTGGAACACATGAACCCGACTGGCATCTTTGCAGATGATTAGCCTTTTTTCCAGCTTAGAGATGAGAGCAGTGGCCGCATGGCAATCGTCACAAACTCGGAGATTTTTCACAATTCTGATGGTCTCCTTCTGGTGCGAGTTCACCAGAGCACACCCCAGCGCAAGCTTCTCACTGTGGCCGCACAGGTGATCCTCTTTCTCTTCCTCGGGTATGTCTTTTAGAACGTTGATCACATCGCTCGCGTACCCCTCCTCTTTCATTCTCAGCAACAATTGCTTGAGCTTGGCCGCAATCTCGTCGCTCTGTGAGTGACTCCTATCCCCGACAGAAAAAGAATGCACTTTTCCTGAGCTAACATCCGTCCACCAGCTTCTCCCGGGCTCCCTGAAGCTGCCTTCACCTCTCATTCTCTCCACAACAGCGGCCCTTTCACTAAGCATCCCCAGGTTTCCAAATATATTGGCCATCAATGCGTAGGGCGTGCCGCTCTTGGGATCCATCTCCACAAGACGCTCAAACGCGAGTTTGCCGATTGTGTAATTCTTCCACTTCCGGCAGGCTCCGAGCAGGGACCTCCAAACCACTGCATCCGGTTCAAAAGGCATGGCTCTGAGAACTCTCACAGCTTCGTCAAGGAGGTTAGCTCGCCCGAGCATATCGATCAGGCACACATAATGCTCCAGACGTGGCTTGACTCCATACTGCTTGGGCATTTCATCCAGAAGCTGCCTTCCTTTCCCGACCAGACCACCATGGCTGCAAGCGTTCAACACCGAGACAAAACTCACATCGTCAGCTTTACAGCCCTCCTCCTGAGTCATGGAATAGAAACGCTCCAAGGCCTCGATCGATCGGCCCTGGAGAGTGTAAGCCTGTATGAGAGAGTTCCAGAGACCCGTGTTGTCCCGAGCTCGGCACTCGTCAAACGCTTCCTGAGCAGAATCAACATCGCCGCATTTGCCGTAGAAGCTCACCAGGCTGGAGCCCAGAACTGGATTGTTTTTCAGCAGCCCTTTATGCTTCGCCAGCTGGTGAATCTCCCTCCCGAGCTTGATCGCCATCACACTCCCGCAAGCAACAAGGACGCAGGTGTAGGTGCAAGCATCAGCTTGAATGGTGTTATCAGCTCTCAGGGCAGAGTAGTACTCCAGAGCAAGTTCAGCTTGCCCGTTCAAGCCGCAGCCCTGGAAACGATTGTGACCCGACATGGCTTCCGGG